AAATACGAAGTATAGTGGTACGTCAACTTAACAGTTTCGAGCTGTAGAAAAATTTTTTCTACATGTCTAGTCTATGTGTTCTGTAGAACGTTCCGTATTACTCACTGTACTCAGTGAAACACTTTAAAATATTATTAATATATTGTATCACTTTGTTACAATATTCATGCACATAACATTCGAGTGCAAAGGCCTTTAAGTACATTGCTGAGTAGACAGATCTTACAGCGCAAGACTTTGTCGCAATAAGTAATATGATACATATAAACATATTTTTATGTAAACATTATATATACACTCCCGTTCTGCCGCTGCTTTTAGCGACAGAATTTTTTATGTAAACTTTATGTATCTTAGGCTAAGACTTTGAACGAATAAAACACAGAGAACATTCTCTGTACAACACTCAAATGAAAGAGTTGGTTTTTGTTCCCCTGTTGGGACTACAGTTCTCTGGTCAGTGATATAACCTAAAAGTGAGGAGCCGAGAAAATACGAAGTGGTCTGGGAACTATCATTCGAAAAAAAAAATTGCAACACGCTTTACGCTATGTGTCCGGTATATGTTTTCTATGGTTAGTGCTACAATAAAAATATAACAGAGCAAACTGAACTAAAAAAAAAAAAAGAAAGAAATGTTAATCCGTAAATTCATATTTTTTTAAATTCCATATAAATTACGGGAATGTCCCTCCGTAAAAGTATCGATTTATTGTTACTGAAACACACCTCTATCAGTTATATAAGTATAAACATGGGGTACTTTCCAGCAGCAGCCTGTAATATTTTAAGGTAAATATTAGTGATAGTGTGTAATGGAATGACCAACTCAAATTTCATTTTCATTGTGGCTGAAGGTTTTCAAAATGTGGCCGCCTAATGTCAATGTACCCTTCCCATTTTGCTGAGCCTAGTTTGAAAAACGATACTAACAAAAGCAGCGCATCACATATCCCTGTAAAAGCAGCTACGAATGATTTATCCAATTCCATATTTTATGGTGAACTCAAAAATAAGCTTATAAAGTATATTACTAAAAAAGGTAATAGAAGTTTGGCAAGAGAATTATTAACCGAAACATTCGAAATTATCAAGCGAACCCAGATTGAAAGATTGATTCTTGCTGGTACAGATAAAAGCAATATAATAATTGATTCGGAACAACTTTTGAAAAATGCTATTGAAAATGCACGACCCTTACTCCAGTTGTCAGCAATTAAAAGAGGCGGTGTCAAATATCAAGTCCCAGTACCGCTTACACAAAAGAAATCATATTTTCTTGCGATGAAATGGCTATTGGATGCAGCTCGTGAAAAAGACCGTAAAGTTCATTTACCGGAAAAACTAGCTTGGGAAATTTTAGATGCTGCGTGTGGTCAAGGAAGAGTTATCAAAAAGAAGGACGATTTACATAGGCAATGCGAAAGTAATCGTGCTTATGCTCATTATAGATGGAGTTAATTTCCGATTTGAATTACGAATGACCTCCATACTTTAATTTTTAATATTTCATTTTGATCGATTAACTAAAAAATTATTAATTATAAAAAAAAAAAAAAAATTAAAAATGATTTTATAGTACGAGAAAAAACGTCCCCATGTATTATTAGTGATGTAAAATGATGCATCGAGCATCGATGTTTTATTACCGATTTATTAGAATTGTCTGAACGATTTTGGGTTCGAATTGCAGAGGCGCGCTTATATTTAA